AGCATGATATGCCCCATATTATCCGCAAAAGCACTATTAGATCCGTCCTCAGCTCCCCTGGGTTCATCCGAGATGAATCTCGTATTGCCCTGGTGAAGCGATCCTTGAGAATCTTCAGATCTGTGAGAGCGATGGGACGGCAAATGAACATGGTGGGGGGTCTCCTGACGTCGGGACGATGATGGCTCTGCATGAGTATCGACTCGCAATGAGGATGATGACTGGGCCTTGGCGCGCTGGCCGCTTGCAATCTTCATACAAAGGTGGAAGCAGAAACCGCGAAAACGCCAGAAGACCACGTATCCTAGCTACAGCTGCTTCCCATTGCCTTGTAAGTCTCCTATACTCTACTGCTTCCCGATCGGCAGCAGCTCTGTCGGTGATGGTTGCAGAACTTTGGGCTGCATTGGAAACGCGCTTGCTCAGCTCCAAATAATTGCACGCCAGTTTCGGATTTGTTGACTCGAGGTTTTCGACTGGAGTCCTGAGTCGAGATGCCAGCGACCACTGCTGGCCACGGCCCTGCTCCACGAGCTCGACTGCCCGCCGTAGATTGACATGACGTATAGCACATGGGGCTGCATCTACGGGCAGGGATCTCACGTAATGGAAGGCAGCGGCAGCTTCGCGTCGTGAAATTGTCGATGATCGCGTTGCCAAATGACCATCAAGAAGGTCAAAACACGTGCTGTATGCCTCTAATGCGGACACATCACCAAGCTGCTCCGCGTCAATGGTCCAATTGTATGTTGTCATAATGCGTTGCGGGAATCCTTGAGTGGGGTGCCCTGATGCAAGTCTGAAGTTCTGTATAGCCAGCGACAATTCACCAGGGTCACATAGAATTTGGTAACGAGCCAAATAGGCTTCTTGCAGCCACATGTAGCTGAAATACCTGTCCGGGTGTAATGAAGACAGAGCCGCCAATGATTGTTGGCAAAGGGTAATGGCCTCCTCGACATCTTCCTTCTTCTGAGTTTGCGTGAAACGAGAGCAGAGCACCGAGCTCAAACCTGAAAGAGTTGTGGGGCGCCCTGGATGGTCAAGCTGCTTTAACCGAAGGGATTCGCGATACAAATCAATGGCCTCGTTGAGATCCTCACTAACATGCAATTTGTCATATCTGGTTTTGAGCGCGACGGCAAGGGTGTTAAGCGTGATGTCACGACGTGAATGCCCAGGTGGGCGCAACGTCAGTGCCTCGCGATGGAGGCTGATGGCTCGGGTGATGTCATCAATGTCGCCGCGTTCGTTGAAACGGGCGACGAGGGCGAGCCCTAGGCTGCTCAATGAGCAATCATGATATTTGTGCCCAACAGGGCGCAGACGCAGCGCCTCTTCGTGCAAAGTGATGGCCTCATCGAGGTCATTAGGTTTGCCTTGGTGATCAAAGCGCAACTTGAGTGAGAAGGCCAAGCTGTGCAGGCAGGCATCACGGCCAGCATGTCCCTCGGGGCACAGAGACACGGCTCCACGACCACGTCGTATGCTCATGTCAAGATTATCGATGCTGCCGTACCGATAAAAGCGTGTTCGAAGTACTTGTGCAAGCTTGTTGAGGACTCTCGGACGGAGTCGATGGCCCAGAGAAAAGAGGTCGATGACGACTCTCCGAAGGAGGACGACTCTTCGAATGTGGACGCTTTCATCAGATCCGTCTATTGGAAGATTGTTGCATTCGCCGATCACATAATCAACACCATTTTCCCCTGCCGCGATGCTACGAAGGTAGGTGCCCTCTGGACAGAGATGCAGTAGTTCATGATAGAGTTGGGGAGCTTCGCGGATGTCGGCAGCAGTACTTTTCTTGTTATGGCGCCAAGTCAGCGCTTCGGCAAGATTATATAGAGACAAGGGATGATCGGGATGGGGCTGCGGACGCAATGCAAGGGCGTCGCGTAAGAGGGAAGTGGTGGCATCGATGTCTTGAACATCATTCCGGATGTAGCCCATAAGGCGGGCGCATGCGAGGTTGGTAAGAGCTATGGCATGATCTGGATGGCTGACCGGACACTGGTCCAGAACCAACTGAAAATGCTCTACAGCACGTTTCAGGTGAGAGACCCTCTTGCGTCTGATGTATTTGGCAAATTGTGCGTGGCCCGCATCTGTGTCTCGAGCAATCTCGCAGTCTACGAGGGACTGCAGTTTGCGTTATATCAGCAAAAGCTAACACGACAGATACCAGCATCACTCACGTCAAACAGGGCGTCATCCTGATCGTCGCAAGCATGTACAATGGCGACCTTCAGCTCAAGGGAAGGGTGGACACCGCGCACGGGTGGGAAGGATATATCTATGAGACGTTAGTATATGTGCACGAATGAGAAGCGAATCACTCACCAAATGGTTCATCTCCATGATCGAGCAGCTCATCCCAAGACATTTGAAGTTCGCCGATGAGCTCTCCACCGCCTAGCGTTCGACCAAGCTCAAAGGACGCCCTGATCTCCACTGACAACGCAGGTGAGGAGTGTGATGATCTATAAACCGATGATCAGTTCTTGCATAGCGTCCGAAAGTCTGCATGAACTTTACAGAGCAACAGAATTCGTCCAAGTTACGGATCTATCAGATGATAAGACACTGATGGCTGATTTCCAGCGCCTACTGGAGTCAACATTGATGGATATGTAGATGTCAGCGGGAATGCGCTCGGAAGGGACTTGAATATCTTTCCACTAAGAACTGTAGGTAGAGTGGGAGGATGATGAAACAGAGACGAAGGTAATATAGAGGGACTCGCCTTCAAGTCTGATATATCGTTCTTCTAGGCCACTACGTGTGATTGTGGGACGAAACGAACGACGAACGACGAACGACACGCAGCATCTGAAATTGAGATAGGTTCAGAATGAGCAGTAGAAGGCGGAGGGTGGGTGGAATGAGTCAGACCGTGGATGTACTTCGGCTGAGAAAGAGAAGATGTTCAGGGTTCAGGCCATGCTGTGTATTTCCATATTGTCGAGGGCTGTTTGGCACGATATAGACGCTGGTATGATGGCTCTAAGCGCTGGGAATGGAGATCACCAGGATTAGCGGAAGAATCTAGAGTAGACAATGTCATGAGCAGTCTTGAGCGAAAGTGGACAGCCGAGGTCGAGCGAGTCTCAGAGTAATTGGAGTTGTATCATACTACTCGTCAGCACACCAAGGGGAGATGTAGAATCGAGTGTATTTTGTATGGTAATGCGAACAATGTTAAAACCACTGAAGACGGCAACCGAATGATTGTATACGACTCGTCCGATTGAGCTAATAGTGGAAGATGATGTTGCCTGGACAGAGAAATTAGAAAAGAATGTCAACTTGGATGCAACCAACTGTATGAAATATTTACTATATCATTGGCACCTGTAGGGAAGCCTTGGAGCTTGAAGCTTGAAGGTGATGGGAATATATTAATGGGACATGTGAGCTTCGATGAGGGAGAGATTATAGATGGACATCGACTCGAGGTGGCCGTCATCGATGAGTCTGCCAATTCAAATTTCTATTTCAGTACAACTTCCGTGACCGTGTTGCACATACGACTCAAAGCTTCTGAGTCGGAATTTCAAAGCAAGGGACACTTGCGGTGGACTTGTCTCTGTTAGTTTTGTGTAACAAAACCGCATTGCTGACCACCTTTGTAGCATTTATAGTGGGTATGTAGCGACTCTTTGCTCATTCTCACCGTTGTTCCAGGTTACGATCATGTTCTTCGTTACTCGTAATATGATCGTCCGCTGCATTCCGTTATCCCATTTGACATACTCTCCCAAACCCTCACTGGTGTTTCTACTTTTTTGTGCGTCCTTTTAGCAGTTTTTCTACTATGAAATGCACTAAAATCTACATTTTACCTTACTATGTGCTAAGTGAATTGTATGACTCAGTGATAAAAGTCTAGACGCCGACAGTGGCAAGCCTCGCAGGATACGCATGTTCCCTTTAAACTTGGCGTGCTACTTTCGCTGATGACTGACTTTGACACTGTCCACTTTTTAGCATGTACAGCCTCTCCCGCCAACATTCTATAGTCTGCCATCGTTCTCAGCAAATGCAATGGAAATACACGTGAAAAAAGACCTGGACCACCCACCTCTTCTCCTATCGCCGTCTTTCATACTCCTCATTTCTCGCTACACCTACCACTAAGCACATCCTCGATCCTCCTCATTTTCCCCCGTCGCATCACCACGTGTGATGACTTGAAGGTGAGTCACCGCATGTTACCTTCGTACCCCTTTCATAATACTCATGATCCACTCGGATATAGAGTCATCAGCGCAATATGAAAATATGAATGTCCTTTCCCGATACATGCCCGTTGACATTGAGCTATGCATCAGTATCCACTCAAGAGAACGCTGAGATCAGCCATTGGAGTTTTATCTATCTATCTTACCAGGTAGGGATGACACCGTGACGCTGCAATATTCACGGATACTTTCGGATGCATTTGACACAATGCTTACATCCGTTTCAGCACTGAGGGCCAATTCAAAAATGAGGCGTTTTGATCAATGTTTTCGTTTTAGACGACCTTTGGGCCCTACAATCGTCACAGCTCACCCTCCAAACCTGCCTTTAAAAAACATAAAGGCACTCGCGGTCAACCGCTTGACCTGGTTTACAGGATATGACATCGAAAAACACGTAAGCACGTTGCACGTTTCTACTGATCTTCAAACCAACCCTGGTGTCCAGGAATGTATTACATTTCAGGGTTTGAAGTGTGGTGAATCTGCTTACGATCGATAAGCGCGGAGCAAGCTGATCAAGCACCAACATACTATATATAGTACGCGCGGGAGTAACTTTGGTATCGTTGTCTCGCAAGCTAATACGTTTCTTGCAGAATCTCATGCAATCTATATTGGATACTATCAAATGCTCCTCTGATAGTCCACAACCAGAGAACGGTCCGGAAAGCATGGGGTATTTTGAAGCGACACTCTCATGTAATTCACTCTCGTTTACATTTACAATTTGTAGAATATACTGCTGAAAGGAGCCTTAGGAACGGGGGTAAAGACGGTCGCTCATGCGATCTGCAACATGCTCAAGCGCCCGATGCTTGGCGTTCGGGCGAATGACATCCCATACCTTGCTGCCAAACTAGTTTTGGTAAGTACCATTCGAAGGCCACGACGCATCACTGACAGTGGCTTATCTTGCGATCCGATCGAGTGGAATGCGTTGGTAGTCGTAGACCGCGGGGATGTAACTATCGTCTCTCAAATAATCCATTATATTCCTTCTGATGATACTTCACACAGTATTTCATGAAGTCTGAATGTCCAGACAGTCGAGTATGTTCTTGATTGATGTATCGTTAATGCCCTACCAGTATAGCTAGTATGTTCCTCAAGAACGCATCGACATGATGATTCGAGAATTCGAGTCGCCTGGATGTACGACGAGACTTGGTGAAAGTAAGCAAGCAGCTTTAGTCTGACTACTTTTCGGATTGGGCTCTTTTTTGGACACGATATATAACATCATATCACTGAGGTACCAGCAAAATTCGACATGGCCAACTTCCTCCGCAAGTGTCTGTAGTCTGCCGTGCATAGTAGACTACATACCCCCAGCAACAAAATATACATACACATCCTCTGTGGTAAGTAGGCGGGTATGGAACTTGCTGATGCAAAAACGAATAACAAACTGGTTCTCAAGAACTTCAAATATTCGAGCAATGAATGAAATTACAAAAAATGCTTCCAAGAGTTGACAATAGTATAAGACGGGATGCAAAGAAAGTAGAGACCAGGTACACCAACGGGACGAAAGATCAACACTCGTGAATATTAACCAGACGACAGTAACAATACAACGTAAAACTACACACCAATATGAACAAAAATCATCCTCTGCTCGAGCGGCACTTTCGTCTTCACCGCATGCGTAGCACAGTTCAGTGCCCAGGCTGCCCTCGTGCAGTCCATGACACCACCTTTCTTCAAATCTCCGATCATATACCCGTAAAAAGCTTCGACGACGTGTTTTGCGACAGCATCGTCGACCTCCCACAGCGTGCCAACGACGCTCTTGAACCCTGAAAACTGAAGACCAGCTGCGAGGTGGATCACTTCGTCGGGCGTCTCCTCATCGCCTACAGCAGTGTGACAAGCTGATAAGAACGCGAACTCGGCCTGCGGAAGATGATTCTCCATAATATCGAGCAGCGTCAGATGTTCGTCTCATGACAAAATGCGAATCATAAGGCTGCGTAGGGTCCTGCTTGCCATGACAAGCGAGGTGCACCCAGGTGTTCTGCTGCAAAGCTGAGAGTGCACCTGCTCGTGTGGCTTCGTCGCCAGAAATAGTGGTGCGGTTGGCCGTCGCAGGCACGAGCTTATGGACAAGCTCGAGCTCGCTGTCGACGGCCAAGAGCGCCTTGCCCTTCCCTGCACCTGGTTGACCCTGTCCGATCGCTACAAAGGACGGAGGCACGCGCTTCTTCATCAATTGTCTAGATCTGATCAGAGCCGAAAGTGTCGGCGTGTAAGAGCAGATGTAGAGATCCTCCAGGCATGGCTCCTTGCCAGAACGATCCGCCTTTGTTTGGAACGGGTGAGCTGCATGGAGAGGAATGGACGTGAAAGCTGCAGTGGGACACAGCCAGATTCGAGAGCGGCGCTGTAGTTTGAGGACGTGCTCGAGTACGTCGACGATGGGCAGCATGATCTGGTCCCATATTATCCGCAACAGCACTATGAGATCCGTCCTCGACTCCCGTGGGTTCATCCGAGATGAATCTCGTATTGCCCTGGTGAAGCGATCCTTAAGAATCTTCAGATCTGCGACAGCAATGGACGGCAAAGGAACATGATGGGGGTCTCCTGACGTCGGGACGATGACGGCGCTGCACGAGTATTGACTGGCAACGAGGATAATGACTGGGCCCTGGCGCGCTGCGGCTTGGAGGTCTTCATATGAAGGTGGAAGCAGGAACCGCGAGAACGCCGGAAGATTGCGTATCTCGGCTACCGCAGCTTCCCATTGCCTTGTAAGTCTCCGATACTCTGATGCTGCCCGATCAGCAGCAGCTCTGTCGACGTTGGTTGCAGAACTCTGTGCGGCATCGGAAACAAGTTTGCTCAGCTCCATATAATTGTGCGCCAGTTCGGATTTGCCGACTCGAGGTCTTCGACTGGAGTCCTGAGTCGAGATGCCAGCGACCACTGCTGGCCACGGCCCTGCTCCACAAGTTCAACTGCTTGTCGTAAATTGTTACGACGTATGGCACATGAGGCCGCATCCGCAGGAAGTGATCGTGCTCTAAGAAAAGCAGTTGCAGCCTCACGCCGTGAAATGATCGACGATCGCGTCATTACGTGGCTGTCGAAAAGCTCAAAGCATACTCGGTATGCTTCGAGGGCAGAGTCATGTTGATGACTCTCAGCTTGAATAACCCAGCCCAAGGCGCCTTTAATACGATTCGGAAAGCCTTGAGTAGGATGTCCTGATGCGAGTCTGAAGTTCTCTATAGCGAGTAACAAATCAGCAGGGTCGTGTAGAATTCGGTAACGAGACATATAGGCCCTCTGCAGCCATATGTAGCTGAAATGCCTGCTCGGGTGCAGTGAAGACAGAGCCGCCAATGATTGTTGGCAAAGAGTAATGGCCTCCTCGACATCCTCATTCTTCTGAGTTTGCGTGAAACGAGAGCAGAGCGCCGAGCTCAAATTGAAAAGAGTTGCATGGTACCCTGGATTGTCAAGCTCCTTTAAACGAAGGGATTCGCGAGACAAATCAATGGTCTCGTTAAGGTCCTCGCTAACATTCAATTTGTTATATCTGGTTTGGAGCGCGACGGCAAGGTTGTTAAGTGTGGTGTCACGATGTGGATGCCCAGGTGGGCGCAACGTCAGTGCCTCGCGATAGAGGCTGATAGCTCGGGTGATGTCATCAATGTCGCCGCGTTTGTTGAAACGGGCGATGAGGGCGAGCCCTAGGTTGTCCAATGAGAAATCACGATATTGGTGCCCAACAGGGCACAGGCACAGTGCTTCTTCATGCAACAATATGGCCTCGTCGAGGTCGTTGGTTTTGCCTTGGTGCTCGAAGCGAAGCTGGAGTGATAAGGCCAAGTCGTTCAGGTAGGCAACACGGTCAGCATGTCCCTCGGGGATCAGAAACACGGCTTCATGACCGAGTTGTATGCTCGTGTCAAGGTCGTCGATGCTGCCGTGCTGATGAAAGCGTGTTTGAAGTGTTCGTGCAAGCCTGTTGAGAGCTTGTGCAAGCCCATCGAGGGCTCCAGGACGGAGTCGATGGCCCAGAGGACAGAGATCGAGGACGACTCGTCGAAGGTGGATGTCCTCATCAGATGCATCTATTGGAAGTTTGTTGCATCCGATGATCACATAATCGACACCGATTTTCTCTGCCGCGATGCTACGAAGGTAGGTGCCCTCTGGACAGAGAGGTAGTAGTTCATGATACAGTTGGGCGGCTTCCCGGATGTCGCCAGGAGTACTTTTCTTGGAGTGGCGCCAAATCAGCGCTACGGTAAGATTGAATAGAGATAAGGGATGATCGGGATGGTGCCGCGAACGCAATGAAAGGGCGTCGCGGAACAGGGAAGTGATGGCATCGATGTCTTCAACATCATTTCGGATGTAGCCTAAGAGGCGGGCCCACGCGAGGTTGGTGAGAGCCGTTGCATGATCTGGATGGCTGACTGGACACTGGTCCAGAACCGACTGAAAATGCTCTACGGCACGTTTCAGGTGAGAGACTGTCTTGCGTCTCACATATTTGACAAATTGTGCATGGCCCGCATCTGTGTCTCGTGCAATCTTGCAGTCTACGAGGGACTGCAATTTGCGTTCTGTCAGCAAAAGCTAAAGGACAGATACCAACGTCGCTCACATCAAACAGTGCATCGTCCTGATAGTTGCAAGCGTGTACAATGGTGGCCTTCAGCTTCAGGGAAGGATAAACACCGCGCACGGGTGGGAGGGATATATCTACAGGACATTAGTGTGTGGATGAACGAGAAACGAATCACTCACCGAATGGCTCATGTCGATGACTGAGTAGCTCATTCCATGGCATTCTAAGTCTTCCAACGACCTTACCACTGCCAAGCATTCGACCAAGCTCAAAGGACGCCCTGATCTCCACTGACAACGCAGGTGAGGAGTGTGATGATCTATGAGCCGATGATCAGTTCTCGCATCGCGTCAGATAGTCTCCATGCACTTCACAGAGTGACAGAATTCCCCCACACTACAGATTCATCAGACGATACGAAACTGGTGGCTGATTTCCAGCGTCTCCGAGAGTCGACATTGACAGATATGTGGATACCAGCGGGAATGCGCCCAGAAGGGACTTGAAAATTCTTTCCACTGATAACTGTAGGTCGAGTGTAAGGATGATAATTGCTACGAAGGTAGTTCGGAGGGACTCGCCTTCAAGTCTGATATATCGGCTCTCTGAGCTACCAGGCATGATGGTGTGATGGAGCAAATTGATGAGGATTGAAGATGGGCTGAGTGGCGTAGGACGGAATCAGTGAGGAAGTAAGACGAGGGTAAGAATATGGTATGTGGATAGGAGTTCAGCTGAGAGGGAGGTTGAGGATTCGGGTCATGTTCAATACACGTGTATTTCCATATTGTCAAGGGCTGTTCGGCACGATATAGACGCTGGTATGGTTGCACTAAGCGCTGGGAATGGAGATCACCAGGATTAGCGGAAGAATCTAGAGTAGACAATGTCATGAGCAGTCTTCAGCGAAAGGGGTCAGCCAAGGTCGGGCGAGTCTCAGAGTGATTAGACTTGTATCATACTACTCGTCAGCAAAGGCGAGATGTAGAATCGAGTGTATTTTGTATGTTAATGCGAACAATGTTAAAACCACTGAAGACGGCACGCTAAGAACCGAATGATTCGTCCAATTGAGCTCATAGCGGATGGGAAAATGATGTGGACAGAGGAATTAGAAAAGAATGTTAACTTAGATGCAACCAATTGTATGCTTATTCGGTGAAGGACGTGATCGCTGCCGGATTCACCCACTGCCGAGGTCAAATATCAAGTACTGTGGAAGAGAAATACTCACTACTAATCATTAGCACCGGATGAAAACTTGAAGGCCAGCAGATCGTGTAGGGAAGCCTTGAAGGTGATGGGAATATACTGATGGCATTTTGGGCGAGGACTTCTGGGCTTCGATGAGGGAGAGAACAGTGTAATGTACTGGGAATCACGCGCACGCGTGCACGGACGTCGACTCGATCATGGTTCCTTGAGGTGGCCACCTATCCCGCGTCATCCTCGTGCCACCAGGAATTCAATTTTCTATTTGAGTACAACTCCCGTGACCGTGTTGCTCATGTGACGCAATTGCCACCGATATCAACGGTTTTAAACACCCACATCACTTACATTTTGGCTCTCCTGGACGCTGCACCTCGTGGAATTCCAACTTGAAAGCAAGGGGCACTCTTTTTGCATTCTGAATCTTTTTCAAGCTTGTCTCTCTTGGTTTTGCGTAACAAAATCACATTGCTGACCACCTTTGCTGCGTGTGTATATATTAGGTGTGTGGCGACTTGAAGCTCGACTTGTTGGCTCATTCTAATTGTTGTTCCAGGTCTCAATATTCAATCACGTTCCTCGTCGCTCATAATATCGTCCATCGCATTTTGCTATGCCTTCTGACATGCTCTGGCATCCCTCGCTGGTTTTTCCACTTTGTTGCCCGTCCTTTCAGCAGTTTATATTGTTTCTACTACTATGAAATACACTGAAATCTACGTCTCACCTTACTATGTGCCAAGTGGATGGTATGACTCGGCGATAAAAGTACAGGAGTAGCAAGCCTCACAAGATGCGCATGTTCCTTTCCGACTTGGCGTGCTACTTTCGCTCTTGATGTTGCTCACCTCTTTAGCATGTACAGACTCTCCCGCTAACATTTTCAAGTCGGCCATTGTTTTCAACGCTTTGTATAATCACACGTCCATCGTGCCAAACATACAAATGCCCAAAACAAGTCTTACTAACCATTGGGGCCTGGTTCCAGAGAGTCCTTGCCTGCAACGAGGCTTACGCGGGCCCTGCTTACTTTGCCGTAGGTTCGACCTGCATGTATTGCATGGTAAGTTTGAAAAGTTCAATGCGAAATAAGACCTACGCGGGCATCCGGTTGTAAAGCGTTGAATGTCACCTAGCCCGTATGTCACCATCTAGTTTCGTCATCTACAATATACTGCATTGATGCAAAAGACAGATGTTGAGCATTACTGAATAAGTTATGCTAGACGACAAGACAAGGATAGCGAGTAGAGAGGGCATCGAACGCGCAAGTTTCCTTTCACATTGGCTTTGGAGGACGTGGTCACTGACTGCGGAGCTCTTTGATTTTGGTGCTGGATGCAGGCGGACCAATGTTCGACAGGAGCATAGACGACACTTTGATAGGTTCCGCTTGGCGTATCTCCCAAGTTAATCTCATAATGTACAGAGCTACACACATCCCTTCGAATCTATCTGTCTGAAATACTGACAGCCTTTCTGATATCTAGCTACAAATTCTGCACGCGCATCAGCCACAAGATGTCCCAGAAAGTCAGTCAGCAGTGAAAGGCGCATCAGTGAATGCGTCTACTACAGGAAAAATTCACTACTTCGTTATAACGTTAAAGGGAGGGAGTTTTGAGGATGAGTCGAGGAGGTGCCGAGCACTTCACAAGTGCGCGTACGTTTCGGATCATTGGTGCCTACCATAGGAAATGAATATCGAGTACTGGCTATACCTTGCCTGAAATCGTCGCGTCAAAGTATGCCTGAGCATGACACGACAAGACACAATACTAAGTGTATGCTTCATGGGTGGGTTAGTGTTGGGATCCGATGAATCCGAGGAGCGTAAGGCCGAGACAGACAGAGCCGAAGGGGAGAAGGAGAGTACGGCCGAAGAATGAAGCACATCGAGTGCGAGCGCCTCCAAACGGAGAACATGGACGACGTGTCAACGTCGGCAATCTTTTCGTTCTTAAGTATATATTTTTTCATCAAAAGTCTTGCTGGCACACTCACCGTATAAGAAGAGCCAGCCAAAGTCGTAACATCTCAGTTTCATAAACGAATACTGAGATGTGAGTAGTTGTTCCACTGTAACGTTTGAGTAGAGTACTGACGTACAAGTAGATTTGTACCTTGTTTAGGTACAACGTTTTGTTAACGAGTTTCATAAACGAATACTGAGATATTCGTACCTTGTTTAGACCTCCGCGCGACCATCGTAAACAACTCACAATAGTTAGGACACATTTTGTAGCGAATGCAAGCAGCACGCATACGTGCCACAAGTCGAAGCACATCAGTGAACCGGTGAGTCCTTGATATGGTAGTGTGACGTCTACCTTCGGACTTACTCGTATCGGAGACTCGGGAGTCACGCAATCTGAAACCTTTACTTTATCACCTGCTTATTCTAAAGAATCACAAGCCTCGCACCTCTACCAGTATAAGAGAAGGGTCGTCTAGTTGATTGTACTTTTGGCGTTCTTGAATTTACTTGACTTGTATCTGGTTATTCGAGCGTCTGAGAATTCCTTTGTGCCACATCTGAAAGCCTTCGCTTCTCACATCTGCATCAGGGAAAACCTCCCGCGGGAATTTTGCAAATGCGACAAAAATTTCTCGAAATTCGCATAATATTTTCAAAAGTTGTCAACAAAGCTAGTAAATAGTTGCGTATGCGTGACGATCAGTGAATGGGCTAACAAAAAAGTCTCTACACAGTTCCAAAACGTTGCTGCTAGTCCAATCCCGAGGCGCAGAGCGGCCAAATTTCGGTATAAGATGTACACTGCGTCGAATATCTTTCACAGATATTATACTAACTAGCTGTTCCCCATTTTCGTATGATCGCGAGACCTTGTGCATACCATGATTTCTCTCGCTTGTCCTGGTGAATGGCGAAAACCACTCGACGTAGGCCAAATGTTTAGGGATCAAGATATGGGAGGGAAAAAGGCTAGCGTGATGTTTCTCGGGTATCGAAAATATAACCCGCACTTGGGCTACACGGTAACCTTGTATGATTCATCAGTGACTTGAAACGGTCAACCAAATGATATACAGACCTTCCACACTCTTCTCTCCCCCATTGCCACAGTTGACAAGAACTGTATCGAAACGTCCTGGCACGGTATTCCCTCGCTTATCTCTTCGTGCAGGCTGACAGTGAACTGAATCAATGGTAACACTTTCATCTTTATGGCCAGCGGAGTCGACCGCATTGTACCTGACCTTATGTTACGTCGACTGTAGGTCGGCGTGTGCGAACTAGGATAGGTCTTCTCAGCGACGACTCGAGTGAGTCTACTGAAGCTGAGCGTGGTCTGGCCTTGACGGAACGTCAAGGATTCCTCCGGCAATCTCGGTAAGACGGCGCTTGTCGAGATGCAGGGCTAGCGGATACGTGCAGAGGCGTATGGGAGCGACTCTGAAGTGCGGTCTCACACAAGGAAGCTTGTTAGGCTTAGATGAGCAAGTTCTGTGGTAGAACCTAGTAGATTAAAGTGAAGTTCAATCTACAACAATGTGCCTACTTATACATAGTGTATGTAGGTGTTCAAGCTCAGTCTATAATCTATAGTATATCGCTAATCTAAGATAGCTAGACATGAGGTTAGATAAAGTACATGAGGCTTAGCCTCTGATCATACATGCAGCACCAAGTGCGACTGCGCAATCAACAGGAGGCGCGTAGAAGCGCTCCGGATCTTCATGAAGCGACATGCTGTATACATGCGCTGATCTAGGGTGACCATGAGGCGTACAGCCTCCATGGATCAGGTACAAGGCCGTCTAGGCCAGGGGCGGGGTCATAGCGCCTTGAGGCGGGGTCATAGCGGTCCAGACCGCTGTCTTTCTAGGCGCAGGCGGCGCACCGCCGCGCGGGGAGTCTAGCAGAGCGGGGGCAGGCGTAGGGAGAGCTGGGGCTCTAGTAGGTGTTACAGATCCCTGTAACACCTTATGGAAAATAGGAAGCGAGGCGAAGGGGATATATACATGTCCAGCGGCATGTTCCACCTGAGCTCGAGTTGTTGCGTCTGGGCGAGTGTGAAGCACAATATAACGAGCAAGGGCAGCTCGAAAAAAAGAGGCACCATAGTCGTCTCTAAGGGAGTCGATGGTAGCAGCCTTGACAGATGGATGTTTCGTCATCTTGTATTCCCTGGCATACTGCATATCTGGCGGTAGACGCGATTGCGGCAATGGATCACCAGCGAGGCGCCAATGAACATAACTGGCGTGCCGTAGAATCTTCTCCTGCCGTTCAAGCCACAGAGTCATTTGACTGTACTCGTCCTTGTGGTTTGTTGCACGATATGCATCCTTGGCGAGGTCGATATGAAGTCGTTTGGTATATTCTGTATTATAGTTGTCAGTCGTGCCATACTCTTGAATCATATGGAGGTAGTGCCGGTAGGAGTGAAGCTTTGGAAGATTAAACTGCGTTCGGATGCCAAGTGTGACAAATATGTCTTTGTTGTCATGAAAACGGGTCAAAGCTTCATCGAGGAGTTGCAGTGTCTCCGCTGAGTGACATGGATACTGTGCTAAGTACAGGAAGTCGAGGAGTCCGCGAAGAGTTCGAACAAGCTTAGCGCTTGAAATGTTGTTGGGAAGGGGAATGTCGATAATAACACCCAGAAGAAAGCGGCAAATCTGATTGTGCTCAGCACCACTGACTCTTGCGAGACTAGAGATGCCCTTGTTGAAGATGCGAATATTATGGTTTGGAGGGAGTCGACGGCAACGGGCATCAATCTCTGCTTCTCCAAAAGCTGATTTGATCCAAGCAATCATGTGTTTCACGAGTCCTTGATATAGCTGGTGCAATACGTCGGGGGTAATCGCATGGAAGATATTCGACTTCGGAAGACACTGCAGATTTCGAGACTGTGTGGCATGGCGGTGATATCCAGCCACAGTCAGGCCTTCTTTTCCACATGGACGACATTTTATGTTGCCTCTGATACTGTGCATTGTCGAGGATGCAATGGAAATGTTGGCTTTGGTGCTTAAGTGGTGAGTGGTGACGAAACGAGGTAGCCGAGGTAGATTTAGTGTTTAGCTTGCGGGCGGAACATGAACCTTCTTCAATTCGAACCACTTGTTACAGGTTGTCTTCCCCCATCAAAATTTCCCTCTTTTAATTCGCTTCTTGCTTCACACTCATTTCGTCAGTCTTTTTCTTACAACTATATTTTACTTACCATGCCTCCAAAGGCTCCTGTGACACCCGGAGAAAAAGCTGCAGCAAAACGGCTGCAGAAGAAGGTTGAAATGGCATCCGCACACTCTGCTCAAGCAGCCACCCCTTCCGAAATTGAAACCTCAGAGAGCGTTGGTAGTAGGTTTTTTTTTAATGGATGAAGTGAATCTTTATGTCTCCTAACACCGCAGGGCCAATACGTTAACACATCTTGTGTGGAACGGCAACAACACAATCAATCTCCTCAGTCAACAACCTCATATCCAAGTAATTCTTCATGCTGCCATTCAGCTTGTCGAACGAGAGCTGGTATTTGAGTGCTACTTTCCACGACCGAAACATCGCCACACCATGATGGTCAACTTAGTACTTGAAGCCGCATCATCAGCAGAGCATAAAGAAGTCTTACAGCGCTTGGAACAAGACCAAGCTTACATGAAAGCTTTCACCAGAGTGGTGAGTTTCTTGTCAATACTTTCGCAACCCACAATTCTCATGCAAGTGGTGCTACTGATTAGCCAGATGGGCGTATTGGGTTGATTCGCAAGAAACTCAAGGAGATTTCGGATCGCGTCGTTCCTGGTGCATATGGGGTCAAGACGGGTGATGACGAGAAGATCAACCGCCTGCTCAATCTCCTGACTTTCATTTACAAGTTTGACACCAAGGTTCGGTTTAGCTCATCGCAAATGTTGATCCTCTTTGACTTTTAGGACATGACAGGGCAATCCCATCTTGAGTCAGCCATTTGACCATCCCGCTATCAACACTGTATGCCAGTTAGCCTTTTTTACGAGTCAGGACCAGGTTGGGAAGAAGTATAAGGATCGGTTTGTCTCTGTGCTTGATGACAACGATGAACCCGAGATCCCGAGTGCCATGGTCTCAGCTGTGGTTACTGCGGTGCGTCGTATTCTAACTATTCAAGCGCTATCTCACCGTGTTCTACCAGATTTTTTCTTCCCTACTTGATCTGAAGTCCGTTGTTGATGTAGGTCGCGAGCGTGGTGATTTCGGGCAAAGTCTCATCGGCATGTTTGACAACAATATGGAAATGCTCAACGGAATCTACACCAAGGGCCCGCATGTTTACCATTCTCTCATGGCTCGAAAATACAAGGCTGTTAGGTATGTGCTAGTCTCGCATCTTTGTTGCATGCTGCTCATAACTTTCTGCAGCAATGTGGTTGACTTTGCATCCGCCGAGTTGAAAGCAGCATTTGCACGAATCGATTTCGATGGGATGAGTATCGACTAGGGCATTCCTGATAGCACAAGGACTTTGCGTTACAACTTTTGTCTCATTTCCTCGTTTTCATATCTTGTGATTTGCGATATTCTAGTATATACCCTGATTTAATCACATTATAATCATTTTGTTGTATTCATGTGGATTTTTGTAAATTTTCACCCATCCGTAGAGGGACTTGGAATATTTTAATGTATTTTCAGAAAGTCAGAAAATTTCAGAAAATCTTATGAAATCTTCGCGGGAGGTTTTCCCTGATGCATGCGCAATCCTCATCAAGAGCTCTCTGCATACCTTACTTCACCATTGGAGGAGACTGATGATGTTGTGGCATGGTGGGGTGTAAGTCAGCCCTCAAATTCATTGTTCCCCGCTTACATTCTTGATTAGTTACATTCACTGCAGTACCCAACACTAGCTCGTGTTGCGCGTGATTACCTGCCCATTCAAGGCAGTTCCGTTCCCTCTGAACGCGCTTTCTCCAGCATGGGCATCACATCAACTCTGCGCCGCAATGCACTTGCATCATCCACTTTCTCCGCGCTACAATTGATGAAGGCAGCCTATAAGAATGGACATGTGTCAGCAGCAGTAGAGGCAGAAGGGTATGCAGTTGGTATGCAGTTAGACTAGCTACCCAATGTCATGTAGATGTCTTGTGAATGTTTTTTCCGTTGCTTGAAAAATTTTCGGTTCGGTTCGCGTTCGGACCAGACAAGAACCGGACCGGACCATTGAGAATGGTTCTCAATGGTCTGGTTCTGGGTTCGACAATTTTAAAGAACTGAACCATGGTTCGGTTCTTGGTTCTCGTCAAGGACCCTCTGAACCGGTGTAGAGACTCATGCCTCTCATTGTGCAATATGGCAGTTTTCACTGGGGAGTACATGGCACGAACTTGTAGCATCACTCTGTGTGCTACCCACAGCTATCTCTATATGAGGCGCAGCTTTCCCGCGCAACGCGCGCCATGCGCGCGTACCTTTCCCGCGCTTCACGATGTATATGCGCGCGCGCTTTCCCGCGCTTGAGCGCCCTATAGCGCCAGCCATCCGGAAGCATCCATCCACTGTCCACCAAGTCCCCTAGTGCGTATATTTCCATTTCTCACATTTGCTTATCGTTCCATCTTTATTTTTATCATGGACCCTTACTTACATATATCTTTACATACCTTACTCGGTAGCGCTTTGGCTCCGCATGACAGCGCTTAGGCGCCATACTTAAGCACCAGCAGTACATACTATGAAAAGGAAGAAACTTACTCTCCCACCAGAACGACAGAGGACTTACTGGTTACTACCCACTATTCACCTAGCAGAACATAGTAGAAATCTATTTGTTTACACCTCGCATCTCTCTTCTCTTGTCTTACATCAAATCATCACTTAAGCAAACTCACTCTTACTCTCTCTCATATCTGTATACACGCGCACGCTTTCCCGCGCTTCGCGCCATACACGCGCGCATTCCCGCGCCTTGCGCGCACCTGCGCTTTCTCGCGCTTCGCATTGGCCAACCAGTAGCGCTTTCAGCGCATACCCCTAGATCCTTGCTGCACTCGCTTCCCCTTTAGGGTCGAACGCACTTGTCGTCTCAAGTATAGCAGACTAGGCAACGCACGACCTTACAACAATTATAGATACAGTCAGGAGCACTGTTCGTGCCTTGCTGTATCTTTGAACCTTCACCGGACCGAACCGGACCATGGCAGCACTACCTCTATCACGCAGTGCTTGGTCTTACCCCAGCTGGTTTTCGGTGCCTTCTTTTTCCTCTTTTTGTTGGTGCTGACGTCTTCCAGGTCCTTGTTGTTGTCAGATGGAACATCATCTGGCATGAGTCCACTCGGTGCAGGTGATTTTGGTGGGATGGGGGCCATCTGCACGAGCCTCGGAGATCGAACAATTGGCGGTGGGGGGAGTTCCGGTTCCGGGGTGACAGAGCTTTGAGGCAGCGTTGGGATAGTCGGAGTGAGTTCAGGTGCTGCAGGTTGTTTGGCAGTGCTGGCACGAGCGGCCATCTGCACTCGCATCTTGGCTAGGTCGTTGATTGGAGCTGAGGAAGAGCCAGCCGCATTGCCTGGTCCGTTGTCGTCAGTTATAGTCATTCCACCTTCGCGCCCGTTTTCATTCTTAAACAATGCCCTTAAGGCAAAAGTAATGATTAGTTAGGTAAAATGTGAGAGAAGATAAAAACATACCTGTTCCACCATTTGAGAAGTCCCTCTGCCCAATCTCTGTCCTCGCACTCGCGAATGAAGTCGATGATGTTGTAGTAAAAGGCTCGGTTGTTGAATTTGCCGTCTGCTTCGGACCATTTGTTCTTGTTGCTGATGGCGAAGCGTGCCTGGCAGTAGTAGTAGTATATGAAAACAATAAGTCAGTTGTGTTAAGTACATCAATTAAAATAAAACTCACCTGAACGCAAGCATATGCTATATGCTCTGCCTCGACAGTAGTCATATCATGCAGGGACGCGTTTCACGAACACGTAGCACGCGAGTCGTCACCTAATGCAGTGGATGGACCTGTAAAAATATGACGCATTATCTAGTAATACAAAATATTAGTAAGATACACGCATATAATCAACTGAAAGACTTACATGCTCGATGAGATAGCCCTGGAACAGGCCCTCGTGCATGGCATCCTCGTCGTACCTGCTGCCAGGAGGATTTCCGGCCCACAGAAACACCGGAAAGTCGATTGAGGTCATACGAATACGTCCGATCTCCATCCATTTTCGGGCCCTAAGTCAAAGAACATCAGATGATCGGATGTCATAAATCGAGTACTTACAATGCGGGATCTCGGTTGAAATCAGCGAGTGCTGATATCGGACAAAGAAAAGAAGCAAGCACAGGGTGATTGATGCCCATATGCGCCCTGGACAGTGAGCCGCCATTATAAATTGTAGGCTTCAAACCTTCTTTTAATGGTTCAGGCGCCGCATAGTGGCCGATTTGGACCTTCAAGCGAGTTGCATCGTCCGAACATGTTCCACTAATAACAGCAGTCATCTAAATAGTATATCAGTACACAGTATATGCACATATAAGCAGCATATACTCACCTTTCGTGCGATCTGAGTGAGTTCCTTGGACTTCGCGCGATCAGTAATAAGTGATCAGAGTCCCGGAGCCAGTTGAAGCAACTGCTGATAGTTGTGCTTGTACCAATCGAGGGTATTGGTTGAACTAAAAAAAAACGGACATCTTAGTGTAGACTTTGCAAAATGAAAATTCGGACTTACAGACTTGCAAGCTTTTTTTTTTTTTGACGGGATTCGCACTCGGCCTCCGACTCTTCCAATTCTCCATTCTCCACGGCCTGCTCTTGCTGTAGGAGTAGACCTACCCTTAGGAGTTTCTCCACGTTGCAAAATAGATTGGTGCAATGTGCCATAGCACGTGCTGCCGCAAGATACTCCTCTTGAACTTCGAGTTCGGAGTTGTTCTCTTTTGAGATCTTAGTTTTCCTGGTCATAGATTATATTAGTGATCTCGGCGCAAGGAATTCGAATAGAAAACTTACTTGACTTCTCGATCACCTTTATCAGATTTGCGCCCGCGTTTTTTAGACGACTTCTTAGGGTGAGGTTGCAAGTGTTCCATTGAGGAAATAGAAGAGTTGCTGCTGGTGTTGCTCTCTGAAGCTGAGGGGGATCTGGAACGACATTTGTGCAGCATGCTTAAGATGTGATGCAATGATATCAGTAGAAGAAGTCGTGTGATCAGAATCTGATCAACAAAGGCAAATTTCAATCTCCGAAATCACATGACCCACCTTGTATCTGCTCAATTCTCTAAGTCAAACATATCTCTTCGTCATATCCGAGTCGATGATCATAATCATGAACCGATTGCTTGATCAGAAGCATCGATTGCTTCATCCACAGACCAGAATAGGTGCGTCTGTCATACCTTAAGGATGCTCACATACCATGCAGGTGGTGATAGCTGAGCCATGCGGCGAAATGGCACAGGCAACTTCAAGGACTTAGACTGGGAGTTAGTAGACTCATTTGGAAAAGAGTTGCAGGAAGCAGGATCATCTAGATCTAATACATATTCCCGCTAAGTCTTATGAATTTGTTATTCTATCTATGATGCAATATAAAATCTAAAGTTTGTGTTCATGTTGGGCTGAGTGTGCATCCCATGGACGGCCTCACCTGCCTCGGGTGTGCAAAGGTTTTCACGACTCAAAAAAGCCTCAGTAATCATGAGGCTCGGTGTGATGCCAGTAAGAGCCTGGATGCTGACGTCTATAAACAGCAGCGCCGTCTGGAGAAGCAAATGCGCTGGAAGAAAAAAAGGCAATGTGTCACGGCTCCTGACGCATCTTCCTCACCAGAAGGCAGAGATACGAGCTGCAATGCTCGTCAACTAAGTCCTGAAGACCGGTGTCTTCTTAGATAGATGATCTATAGATAAACACCTACAAAATCAAAAATCTCCACGGTCAGCGATTCAGACAAATACCAATGACTGATAATGTGGTTGTTCGTGGGTGGCTGTTTACACTTCCCCAAGCTATGTTCAGACAAAAGTACTTCCTGTGAGGTCAGTAGCAATACTAGTCAATCCAGCAGTATGGACGCAATAGAAAATAAAATAAACAGAATGTAGTCAGCCCAACAGTATGGTGATGACAAAAAAAATGATTCACTCCAACGGTATGGCAGTGTTTAGAGAACAGAGAAAAGTCAGCCCAACAGTATGGTACTGATAAAAAAAAGAAATAGATTGATAAGGGAAACCCTTCCTTCAGTAACAATGCTTCTCGTAATAAATTTACTACAGAAAGTCATGCGAAATTATAGCAATCACCCCCTCAGCACAAACAGGTAGAATCAAAGGTCAGGACTAATCAGTGATCAGTAGAACTCTTAGTTCACTATTGAACCTGCTGCCAAGAAACTCACGATGAGTATTAAACAGAATCAGGAACGGACGTCCTTGGATTTCAGTACCAAGTCCCCTATTCAACAACTAAAGTCTAGCAGACAAAGAAAACCCTGGCTCAGTATCACTACTCAGATGAGTGAGGTCAAGCATCACTATCAACCTCTGAAGTCTTCCCACTAAGCTGGTGCTTAGATGGACGTAAAGACAACACAAAGATCTTGAAACAAATTCAGACAATAACACTAAGACGTGAATGAACTGAACAGAAAAAGAGACAGATGAAAAAAAAAGACACAAAGAAATAGAAAAAAAGAAAGAGAAAAAGAAGAAAGAAAAGAAAAGAAAGAGACTAGAGGTTCACCAGTAGAAAATCAAAGAAAAAGTTTGCTCACTGTTGAGCACAGTGAGCTCAAGATATTTCACAGTTGTTGACGATGAGCTAAAGGTATTGCTGGATGTTGCTTACAATGACCTCTCAGTTAGTTGTTTAACAGCTCTTGTCACTGTTGTTGATACTGATCACACTTCACACTCAAATTTATTTTGTGGGGCTTAAAAGTTCCCTATATGCATATTTTTATTGGCAAAAAGTGGGGTCTTATATAGATAAATTATGGTGGCTGTGTTACTATTTCCCACGTTCTAAGGGGAATAGGCTTAGTCAGATTGTACCAATACTATTTACTGTAGTCATGTGCTTTATAATTTGTGTCATCAAGCTTTAGTCATCTCAAAGGTTGCTTTGTCATGATTTGGTTTAGGATCATAGGTCACCTGACTGTTAGAGTCATATAACTTAGTATCATGTGACAAATATTAAGTAACAGACTGATTATGTTATTTGTTGGTGTCTTGTTATGATGTTACTTTATTGACTATAGAAATGACGCGAGCCGTGTATTTAGAGTGTTAAGAAAGTTCCCACAAGGCAACTTATGCAAGAACTATTTTACACTGTTACTTGACATGTGTGGGATTCAGTCTGAGTCATTGTTATTGCTGACTAAGCAGAATTTACCGCAAAATTAAATATACAAGAATATTCAGCCTATCTGAGTCTGTCTGAGAAATGAAAATACTATCTGAACTGCAGTCTGAACCATAAAGTAAAGGAAGATTGTTCATAATGATTTCTAGGGTATCGGGCTCGTGGGAGAGCATTAGTCATCCATGCACCGAACCGGTTTGGTGCAGGTCACCGGATGGATGTCAACAATGATCAATGGCTCGATCATGATCATATGCACGAGGTAAGTCATTTTATATTGAATGATCGGTTTGTCTAATTTTACATCTAATAGGATGAAAATACTGCTGGAGCTTCTGCTGACGTCGGCGCACCAATCCCACCAATCCCTGATGCGCCTACCATAACCTCTGCCCGTTCTGGCCGACGAATCCGCATGCCCGCTCGTTATGCGAACTATCTCCCAGCTGGACCTACCAATCTCCCACATATACCTCCTCCACCAGACAGCCCTCCCAATCGAGTCATCGATGATCTCCCCAACGACCAGCCCATCCTTGTCCCCTATCAGACTGCACCAGATGCACTGGGTCTGTTCTGCATCTATGCGCAACAACCAACTCTCATGTCCATCGGAAATGAGGGCCTTGATGTGATCGCTGATGCCCCAACCTTCGACACAGGGGGCAACCTTCATCTGGAAAGATCTCGGATCATTCCTGGACTCCCATCCCAAGACATCCGGCCTGAAGATATATTCTCCCCCTTTAGCAGCCCGACCGCAGGTCTTCTCATATGCTGGCAGTATTCCGGCGCAAACTCCAAATCGAGTGCTGAAATGAAATGACTCACAAAATCGTTTCTTGATAATGATGAATATGATAGAGAAGACATGCGCATATTTGATGATGTGTGCGAGAAGAGGCTTATAAAGGAGTATCTTCGAGACAGATCTAATCCATTTCGTGTGGAAAACGGCTGGCGCTGCTCCTCAGTAAAAATACGCCTGCCCAAAGAAAAGGTCAAGTTCGCATCTGAAGAAGATGCCCCAGAATTGGAGATCCCGGGCAGTTCATCACCGCTCCCTCACTGACATCATTAGATCTGTCTTTGAGGACAATATCATATCGACTGTTTCATTTAACACCTTTCTGTCAGCAATGGGAGATCTCCGAAGGTCGCATTATAAATGTCTATAGCGAGGCGTATTCCTCGCCTTCTTTTCTGGAAGCCTACGAGGAGATTAATGCACTTCCCCGAGATCCAGGCGATAATCTTGAGCAAGTTGTAGCCTCACTGATGATGTGGTCCGACAGCACTCATCTTGCCAGCTTCGGAGATGCGTCTCTCTGGCCCTTCTATCTCTGTTTTGGAAATCAATCCAAGTACACACGAGGCAAGCCGACAGCATCTGCCTGTCATCATGTTGCATATATTCCTAATGTAAGTTCCGTCTGTGATCTATGAATTTGATTATACTCATTCTGATGTATTAAGCTTCCTGACGACTTCCAAGACCGTTATGGCCATCTCTTCGGCGAGGCATCATCCAGTGATGTCTATACTCACTGCAAACGTGAACTCATGCAAGCCATATGGGCGCTTCTACTGGATGAGAAGTTCATGGACACCTATAAAAATGGTATTGTCATTTGATGCGGTGATGGGGTCACTCGACGTGTTTTCCCCCGCTTTTTTACTTACTCTGCAGACTATCCTGAAAAGTACGTATTTTGATATTAAATCCCATGTTCATATCTCATCATAGATCTATTGTTACAGGATTCTACTTGCTTGTATCAAATTTCTTGGCGAATGCCCTTGTCCCCGCTGTCTGATCAAGAAAGAGGACATCCCCAATATGGGAACGAAGATTGATCTCGCGAACCGCCAAGCAACCCAGCATGTCGATGATGAACGACGTCATCGCAAAGTTGAAAAAGCCCGCAGGCTGATTTTTAAACATGGTGTCGGCATCAATGGCCAACGCATCAAGAGGATCTTACAAGACGAGTCACTGGTTCCAACTCGAGTGAGTAATCTATGCACATATCTCATATTTATATCTTATTGCTTCATATTAGAACACATTCTCTACACGGTTCCTCCAATATATATTCAATTTTTTTTCAATGTTTGTTGTGGATTTGCTTCATGAGTTCAAGTTGGGTGTGTGGAAAGCAATTTTCATACACCTGATGCGCATTCTTCTTGCTGCGGGTGGTACAGCAGTCAAAGATCTCAATTTCAGGTACGTCATAGTGCTTTTCACCACAGTAACACAACACTTATAAGATATACAGGTACCGCCAAGTTCCTACATTTGGCAGGGGAACGATCAGACGTTTCCATAAAAATGCATCTGCAATGAAACGTCTGGCGGCCCGTGATTTCGAAGACATGTTGCAGGTAAGATCGATCTGATCAGACGTTCGGATCATAATTTGATGATGTGCTTGATGTGCTTTTCATTTCAAGTGCGCTATTCCAGTATTCGAAGGACTACTCCCTCCTGAACATGATACAGTTGTTCTTGACCTCCTTTTCGACCTTGCTACCTGGCACGCTTATGCAAAACTTTGTGTACATACGGACGACACTCTCGCATTTTTCGACTCCATCACTGTGATCCTTGGACAATCGGTTCGCAAATTTCAACGCACTGTTTGTGCGTACTATCACACAACTGAACTTCCTAATGAGTATGCTGCACGTGGACGCCGTGAGGCTGCATTAGCATCAAAACAAGTGGGTTCTGCAAACACATTGCAGAAGTCTAACCCGAAGGTGAAAACCTTAAATCTTTTCACCTACAAATATCACGCACTTGCTGATTACCCAAATACTATCCGGCGAGTCGGTACTTCAGACAGCTATTCAACACAACCAGTAAGTGATCTCCTCATAATGTTATTCATACAATATCTAATATTATATAGGGAGAACTCGAGCACCGTCGATCAAAGCGCCGATACCCTCGCACGGCCAAGAAGAAGGATCAAACCCTATCCAGCATGACTTCTCAAGAAGCACAGGAACGCCTAATTGAGAAGGTGATTGCTGCACTTGCAGCAAAGCGGAATCCGAGACCACAGCGCACCCAAATGTCTCCCTCGGATCATTATTCAATTGCAACATACGCTCGTGCAAATGATGACATCACCTCTTGGTTAATCAAGCGCAGAGACATTGGAGACTTGTGTGATCTTGCGATCGAGGCAAGTTATTTTCGTATATGTATATTCACATTTTCATTGTATTTTCTTAGGAGTTTATTCCATGACTCAAGGACCATCTCCTCGCTCGACTTCGCAATCTTGCATATGACGGAGATGAGCATGACTTCTCCGATGCTGATCGTGTTACGACAAGCGGTCGTGTGCGACTAGGATAGTTCTAACAGTGACAACCACAACAGTGGTACCGAGTACTGAGAGTCGTCGGCCTTTACAGACAAGCAAAGGTTGCGTACTCGAACGTAGCTCGTGGTGGTTAACGAGGGGTTACGCTGAGATGATAGCAGAGGTTACAGACAGTGAGAGGCGTCACTGAAGGTGCGAGTCGATGTCGAGCAAGTAGCTTTAGCGGGACAAGGAGTTCAAGGGAAAACCTAGTTGATTAGACTAGTTCTGGGTAGTACCTAGTAAGATTAAAGTAAGGAACGTCTACTTGTAATCTTCGACCTTATATAAGGCTACTCTATCGTATCTAAGCTCAGCCTAAAGCTGGGTTCTAATATGCTTATCTACATGAGTCAGAGATAGCGTCCATGAGGCGGGCTTCTATCGTAGATAGCGTCCATGCGGTACGCTTCTATCAGAGATAGGATCCACGTGGTATCCTTCTATCGTTATCTAAGGCAACACGATGCTTGCCTTCTATCTGTCCTCGAGGCAGCACGAGGCGTACCTTCTATCTTGATAACATTAATAGGTCTTCTAGACCTATGTCGTCATGTGTCGTCACGTGCGGTCCAGACCGCTTATCTAAGCCGGCAGTTGCCGCTTATCATCTATCATCATCTGTCGTCATCTGTCGTCATCTGTCATCACAGAGCCAGTGATGCTCCGGTTATCGTCTATAGAGCTGGTGAGGCTCCGGTGTCGTCTATAGCCGTGCGGGTGGCAGAGGGCTCTCTGCTGGCGGGGGACTCGTGCCATGTTACTGTAACAGATCGCACCTCGGTTCTATTCACAGACAACAAGATATACCACCACAGTATCTTGCGCATCAACTATACAACCTATGATCTACGACGTGAACAGGACACCATCAATCCCCACACTTGTGCCGACATTATGGTTCTCTCCCACGAAGATGAGAAGATTCATCCATACTGGTATGCCCGTGTGATCGGGATCTATCATATCAATATTGAATACCGCGAGGACGACACTCAAATGTACTCACACCCAACTCGGATGGACTTCTTATTTGTCCGATGGTTCAGACGAGATAGTTCACCTGCAGGTTGGGCTGCCAAACGACTCCAGCGCCTTGAATTTTTCGATGAAGACAGTCCTGACGCATACGGATTTTTGGATCCAGACTCTGTCATTCGTGGAGTTCATCTGATTCCCAGTTTTCAACATCGGTCAGATCCTTAAGATCCTGAGTCTGACTGCCATTTTCAATATGTGAACATGTGCGCATTTGTTTTTATTTATTCTTGCAACTAAGGCTGATATATTTACATCATATATATAGATTTGTCGATCGAGACATGTTCATGAGGTTTCGCGGTGGCGAAATCGGCCATAAAGCTACCAGACACTGGGACGATATTCTCCAGCACGAGAACCATGGAGCCGAAGAACCGGAAGAGGGTGATCAGCTTGAAGAAATCATTGCCGACGTATCAGACGCAGATACAGAGGAGGAGTGGCAGGATATCGAGGATGACAATGCTGACAGCGAGAGTGATGAAGAAGGCAATGACGAGGGTAGAGTCATGGCTGACGAAGGAGAGGAGCTCGATGATGACGTGCTTGCAGAGGAAGGATATGGCGCACTTTGATGTATTTAGCATGCTTCTCAATCGATCGAATGCCCGGCGTGCATCAAATTTGCATTTTCATTTTCTGTTGCGCAAATACTTTGATTACAGTAGCTATACGACATTACGTATGTATTGTAGTGTCTAGGATATATCATGTAGATACAAGAATCATCCACTTAATGTCGTTATGATAGTATCGCAAGGTGGGAGGTCTCATTCTGAGTTAATTGCTTCATTCAAATGTCACGTCGGGGTGTTGATGACATCACACATACTTGTTTGGTCATATGTTCAGCCACCCTACCGTCCATATCGGGTAATCTCACGGTTGAGCAATTTTTGTGATGACAGTACATACGATAAGGTGACAAAGGTGACTAAATAGGCATTGATACCAATACACCCCCTCGCCGAGACACCTGTCGTTGAAATAACTCCTTGAAAGGAGGATGCAGAGCCTATATTCTGTGGCGATGACGCTCTGCACTGATACGGCTGGTCGTTGATAATCGATAACCGATGGTAGAATATCGGAGAAGTGCCGAAATGAAAGCAGAACTTGATATTGTGCTCGAAGTGCCGAAACCACGAGAGCTGTTCCCGGGAGTAATCGTGAGCGAAGAAGGCATTCCAAAGGAGAGAAACAGTACCCAGGGGTGCCAATATGACTACAGGACTCAGGGAGGCTATTTGCACGAAAGATCCAAATACATTAGATATCAAAAAGATGGCAAATCCTATCAACCATAATGGTCGGCGGTGTTCCACTTTCTGGTCTTGTTCTGGGAGCTGTGAGTTATGGACATAGCTACGAGGCTGGACCGCAGGATAGTGTGCCGGACTGCACCGTGGTGAAGTTGCTCCAACGTAGTGTACTCGGTATGGAAGACTAGGGTGTGTAGACGGCGGACCAAATACCAGGTTTTCGATGATGTTTAGGGCGACCGACCCCCCAGGTGTAAATTCGGATTGCCTCGCGTCGCATTCAAGATATGCAACGCCCTGAAATCTCGCCAGAAGCCTGTTCAAGAGCATCCGAGCAAATGCTCTTTCCGGACTTTTTCGGACCCTTGACAACATACACCAAGAGAGGTATTGGATCTGCTGAAGATGGTGGCATCTCTGCAGCGCTCAGGGCAATACTCCATGATTCTGGCAGTACGAACGGCAGCACGTCCCTGGTGCTGTGCGTCACCAAGCTCACGCCAGGCCGTATAACATCTGTCGAGCTCCGCTGCCAACGCGAAGGTTCAAAAACTCCATCAAAGATGCGATATACACGCCCGAGACCTTCCACGCTTGTATCGAGCGACTGAATCGCTATGTACTATAGCTCCATCGTGTTTGTTTATGACGCGAGGAGGAAGGGAAGATATGTTCGAATCGGCATGTACGTCCGACGAGGCGCATCGTAGGATGGGAATCGGAGCAGAGAACGAAGGTCGAACACATGGTGAGCTACTTTCGAGGCAGACAACGTTACACTAAGTATGGATGCAGACCACTTCAAAACAGTAGGATCGGATGTCCCTGGATGTGCGAGTGTCTCCTCTTGGTGGATGGAAAGTACCGAAGTCTCGTTTTGCAAGCCCGTGGCAAAGTTGGCTTCGCCGGCAGAGAGCTCGTAAACATTAAGATCACGAGTGGGTCTGAACGTAGACAGTTGGGAAGGCTCAGATCTCGAAGGCTGGGGGCATAATGGAAATTCGGACATCTTGACATTCAATACTCAATGTTTTTCCTCGGCAGTCCTACCTCCATCACGTCCACTGAGGTATGTATTGGTCTACGGTCCACATGCTCTGGATTGTTTATCCGCCAACCTTCGGTTCTGCCTATACTCTCACCCTGAAGTCCGCTGGAAAGCGCACCCATTCTGATACAAGTGCCAAGCTTACTGTTTTTTTCCGATAGGATATAAGAGCAAGGCCACCACTAGCAGAATCAGAGCCATTGTTTTTCTTGACACATCCCATATAACCTAGCACGAGCCATGCATTTCTCATTCCTCCGAGTCGTCGCAGTCGTTGCAGCTTTGACAAGATCTATGTCCGTCACCGCACAGCAATGTGCGCTCTTAGGCGTGGCTTGTGGCCCGACCAGCCCGGAAGGCTTCGGATGCTGCGGTGACTATGTCTGTCCGCCTGCTGTGAGTATGAGTCGTTCGCTTTGCATCCGAAATTCAACCCCACGACTCACCTTTGCGCCTTGTACCAGTCCGGAAGTACCCTCGTGTACTGCGAGAGAAAGTCCGGATGAGCTTGGCAAACTGAGCATGTCACAATAGTGAGTCTTATCTCTTTCGCGTTGGCACAGTGCTTGATCGCACGATATACAGTTCGTCACGGAGTGGATGGATGTGCTCACTTTTATACAAATTTTCCTGACACCTCAACCAGACTCCCGACCAAATTACTGTAGCGTTGATAGAAGACCTCGCGCTCAGGCCTCATGTCATTCAACTTGTATACAGTAAAAGTAGAAGAAAATCGGTGTCTTCAGCCGACATTGAAGTAGGTGTACGTGACATTGAAGATCATTCGAAAGAAGGAGCTGGTGTCGAGGCATTGGAAACAAGAACTAAAGAACAAGCCTCAGCATCGTGAAGAAAACCACCAGTGAGATTATTGTGGTTCACCTCGTTCAAGGTCGTGACACTGGGTGACCGATAGCGACCCTAATTTCAATAGGGACAATCGCTATATTTATATCACATACCAAACTGTTAAGGACGCGGTCACGGTCAACTGATGCTAAGATTCCCGAAATCGAGACCCTCAGATTGAATGCTTCCGCTCATGAACAGGTGGACTGTTGCGAGGTTGTTCTGATATATCCGAGTCACCAGGACCTCCCTAATTTTGATATGATGTTAGGTCAATGTCAAATCGTCACTCGTCAAGAGAAACTCCGCCAAACACATAAGAGATACAGGAGCCCACCAGACAGCAAAGAAGGAAAGAAGCTAACGAAGGTCAGCGCTGCCATCCTCCAGCTGGAGATTACTCAGCACCCTTTTCCCTCGTTCCCACAACAATTTGAACAAACCCGGTTTCCTTAAAACTGGTCTCTGAGACCTGCCGGATCCCCAGAGAGGTCCTCACCAAATTCCCTGAGAGATTTGTGCAACCCTCTCGCACACCTCTACGAGGTATCCTCCCGAGGCTCGCGCGCATGTTCGAATGTTATGTTTACGGTGATGAAGGAACTGGCTTCTGACGGTTTCGTATCTACTTTTAATTGGACGCGTGAAGTCACGCTTTTACAACAGCTATAGTTCTCGTTCTTGCTGTGAAGATTGCTCTAGACTTCTCCAACAAAGGAGCAACCTATTTGTAACGGTTACCTTTACAAGGGCAAATTCTCGTCGTGGCGCTCCACGAGTGGTTCGCAGCCAGTACTCGCCTGGTGATCCATCTATCATTCCTGATGTCACATTCACTGCCGCATGGTCACCAGCGTGAACCAGCAAGTGCAATTGCCCTCTGTTGGAATGATATGTCAGCTAGTATCAAGGGGGTCAGTATTTTGCATTCACTTTCAGGATACCTAACTCACACAGTGCAGTGCATCAGGGATATAAGAAAAAAGCCGTGGCGAGGGTGAGTATGATCATACTCGTTCTATGAATTCTATTCACTGGGGTCTTTATTAGCTTGGTTCTTCGATGGCGCCGAATTGCCTTTTACTTACGCACATTGCAACCTCCTTCATCGTCGGTCTCAGGATGGGTCCATATTCGGCTTCATGCAAGGCCTTTGCTTGTGCATTTTTCTTAGATCCATTCAACTGAACAAGGTTGGAGCTAATTTAGCTACCAGGCCCGCGAGCTTGCAAATCAGTGTTTCCTCGACAATGCAACACATTTCCATGTGAAAGTGGTCGGCAATTTTACGTTGAATATTGCTATCTCATTTGTTCACATGTTCGCGCCACCCACCCTTGCACCCCATCCAAAACCTGCGCGATGAAGAGAATCTTTCTCGAGCTCCCTACGCTACTCGACCTCGAGCTCAGTGGACAACGAGCAAGACTAGGCACGGTCAATCATTTTCAGATAAATTCAAACATCCACATTGCTCGAGTAGTACAACTGTATTAATTGGCTCCGAACTAGGTATTGCATCATTGACCATGATACCAAAGCGAAAACAGAAACATGACTCACTGTCTCGACGTAGCACTTGGGCTGCCGGTTCAATTTTCAATTTTCAACCGACTACTACTCGCAGTAGTTACCAATTGCACCCTGAAGCGTGCAGGTGAGTCATGTTGGTTGTATCCTGGTTGCCGACAGGCTGTTCATACTCACGCGACAAACGTTACTGCAGCAGTCCGAGTTTGTGGCGCAATATACATTCGGGCCAACACATGCACTGACACACTCCATAGATGCTGCCAAAGTAACAACAACGGCGAGGACGGAGAAACGCATTTTCGATATGAGATCTTTTGAGGGGGTTCTCGAATGATATCTGTGAGGATGGGAGAACACTGTAGGACGATGGCCAGCTTCCATATCCTGCGTACACTTACTATGGGCATGATTCTGATCGATTTGGAAGAATTGTTATTGCTGTCAAATGGCAGAAGTCTCAGCAGAACCTACAGGGGCGTATTATTTGATTATGAGTCTACGACCCTGCAGGCTGCAGGCGTCGACAATTCTCTTCTTAACCACAGAACGCTTGCTCTGATCCCTGTCTCTTATCCCAATCATCGCCTCATCATTTGAACCTGTAGTGAACCTGCCAGCACAGCGACAAAATGGGGAAGTTGATGCTTATTCTCATCGATGCTTCCAATATGTACTCGGTCGATATCTCATGTTTTTTTCACTCGTTGCCCCTTATACTTACTATGTGTAGTACCATTTTGCATGCCAT